TGCCCAGGCAGGTCTCAAACCTGCAGGCTCAGGCAATCCACTCACCTCAGCCTCCCAAAGTCGTAGGATTACAGGCTGAGCCACCGAGCCCGGCTTGGATTTATTTTATAAAGCATTGCTTTGGGTTAGTACTGTTTCCATCCAAATGCTTTACATTGCCTACAGGTTGCCCCAAGTAATTATATGCTTTAAAATAATCTAAAGTCATTTCTGTAACTCCAAAAAGTTGGTGGGTGGCAGAGCTAGGATTCAAATCCAGATCTTACTGGTGCTAATAGAAAATACACCAGGCCGAGTGCGGTGCCTCAAGCCTGTAATCCCAGCACTTTGAGAGGCCGAAGTGAGAGGATTGCCTGAGCCCACGGGTTCAAGAACAGCCTGAGCATCTTGGTGAGACCTCATCTCTACGATAAATCAAAAAATTAGCCGGGTGTGGTAGCGTGCGCCTGCGGTTCCAGCTACTTGGAAGGCTGAGGTGGAAGGACTTCCGGAGTCCAGCAAGTTGACACTGGGGTGGCCATGAGCGTGTGTGCCACTGCACAGAGTGAGACTCCAACTCAAAAAAAACAAAAAAAGAAAATACACTAAGTATTTCTTCTGTTCCTCTACTGTCTCTATTTATGTTTTTATATTGATAAGGTTTTGGGGAAGAATTAAAGGTTTAATTCTAAACATAGAATTTGAAAAGCAGCCTACCATATTCCTTAAGAGACTGATACACTCTGAAGATCCTGGCAAATTGAGAGCAAGCCTCACTAGAACATCTTTTATGATGGATCTCTACCAGGGAATGATGTCATAGTATGGCTGTCCCTTGGGGAACAATCCAGAGATTAAGACGTTCTGATATGGTCTGGAAAGTGCAGGCCAGAGTGGACCTGAGTAGCATGCTGTCCATCGGGCAACCTTTGGGTTGCAGTTGGTTTATTGAAGGTGGCATTTGGTTTTCACAGAAAAGACCATATTCTTCTTCCCAAATAATGTCTTGTGCTTATCTGTTTATATCTATAGTTATAATCTATCTATATCTATATCTGTATCTATATCTGTGTGCCCTTATTAGCTTGGAACTCTTCGACGGGAGAGATTATGTCTCTCACTTTTGTTTAGTAGTTTCTTGCCAAGTAATGAAAGATAATCCCGACTGCATGGTGGTTCACGCCTGTAATCTCAGCACTTTGAGAGGTAGAGGCGAAAGGATTGCCTGAGCCCCAGAGTTTGAGACCAGCCTGGGCAATTTGGCGAGACCTTGTTTCTACAGTAAATCCAAAAATTAGCTGAGTGTGGTAGCGCACACCTGTAGTTCTGCTACCTGGAAGGCTAAGTCGGAAGGATCGCCTGAGCCCAGCAGGTTAGGCTGCTGTGGCTTGTGGTCATGCAGCTGCACTCCAGCCTGGGCAACAGAGAGACTCCAACCCCGCCCCCCCCAAAAGATAACGGATTGCAAATTTACTCCCATGCAGTCTGGTGATGTATATTAACAGGTGTGAGAAAGTAAACATATCGAGTCACCTAAAGGATATACAGATTTTTTTTTTTTAACCGGGTTTTAAAAAGTAAATGATAGGTGATTCCCTTTTATCATTTAGAAATATGTTATAAGCTTTATTCTCCTATAAGAAAGATTTCTGAATTATACTGTTGACTTTTGTTGAAACGCCAACTCAAACTTTAATTCATTTCTATCATTTTCTAATTCAGTATGTACAAGATATTTGTGGCAAACCTACTCAGATCAACTACATTAGGAAAGTCAATTAAATGTTAAGATTAAGTGAACTAAGCTGTACATGGTGTTGTGAGCCTATCATTCCAGCTACTTAGGAAAGCTTGAGCCCAGCAGTTCAAGACCAGCCTGGGCAACTTTGAAAGACCCATCTCACAATAAACAAAGATCAAATGAACTAATTATTAATTATGTTTTATTGAATTCACAATGAAATCACTACATCAGTTGTTTTAGGAATATGTGGTACTAAAATTTCTTAACTGCTCTATTTAATTATCAAAAATAATTTTAAAACGTGGAAGGATTTCATGTTTTTAAAGTTTAATTTTTTAAAATTGATACATAATGTACATATTTTCAGTATACATGTGATAATGTAATACATTCATACAATTTGTGAAGATCAAATCAGTGTAATTGGGATATTCTTCACCTGAAATATTTGGGGAGGCTTTCATTCTAATTCATTAGTTTTCTGTTTTTCTTTTTCAGAATATAAACAATTTAGGGAAAAAAACCTTTGTTTTGTAAATATTTTTAGATATTTTGTGTATGTGAGTTTTAAACCTGACTTTTCCTATGTGTCATCTGATCAGCTATTTATTGAATTTCAGTTCCATTGTGAGAATTTAGTATAAAGAATTATTTAAATATCAAAATGAATAGCTTTCTGTAAAAGTCAGATTTTTTTTTCTGATAGGTGTGCTAGAAGAAGCCAGATTTTTTGGTATTGATTCATTGATTGAACACCTGGAAGTTGCAATAAAGGTAAAGCTCTTTTTACATCAGCCAGTGTTAACATTTATTGTAGCTGTGTCCAAAAATGCCCACTAATTTCTTGATCTCTTTTGCAAGAATTCTCAACCACCAGAGGATCATTCACCAATATCCCGGAAAGAATTCGTGCGATTTTTACTCGCAACACCAACTAAGTCAGAATTGCGATGCCAGGTAATTTGAGATTTTTACATGAGCTATTTGTATCAGCAGATCTGTGAATAAAGTTTAATATTTGGGGTTTTTTTTGTTTTGAGGGAAGCTTTCTGCTTTATTTTCCTTTTTTATGCACGATATCATTTAATTATGGGTCTTAGCGTCAATTTGTTTCTGAATGCTTAACTGAAGAGAGATGCAACAGCCTTTTTTATTATCTAATTAGGCCTCATGTAGCAGTTTGTAAGTAATGTATGGAAATCACCGCAGTTTTTTAAAAGTTGACATTGGTGACAGTTACTTTTACTTTTGTGTATTATAGCATTACAAATTTTAAAAACCATAATGTTAATTTTTTCTTAATAAAACTGGCTTGAATCATTGTATTAAAAAAATTGCAGTATAATTAAGTTTGGCTAAAATAGTACTTGTTAGCAGGTATATGACTAATAGGAATTTCTGTTTAGAAACTTCTGCTCATAAATGCAGTATAGCCAGGCTATATTCTAATGTATGGATCAGTAGAGTTTCTTTTTTTTGAGGAGCCCATTAAGGACACTTATTTTATGTATCTAAGTTCCATTTGGCCATGTTTTGTAATAAACTACAAATGACTGAAGCCCATTGCTTTAAAAAAAAAAAAAAAAAAAGCCTTGCCCATTGCTTCTAAATTACAGTAATTCAATTTCATATAAGCAAATGATTTAGTTAATGTGACAGTTTGTGCTTTTTTATTTCAGGGTTTGAACTTCAGTGGTGCTGATCTTTCTCGTTTGGACCTTCGATACATTAACTTTAAAATGGCCAATTTAAGCCGCTGCAATCTTGCACATGCAAATCTTTGCTGTGCAAATCTTGAACGAGCTGATCTCTCTGGATCAGTGCTTGATGTAAGTATCATTTTTGGTTACAAGAGATAATTAAATTTTTAGTCTATTCAGCCATCTCAAAGAGCCTTTGAGACAGAAATGATAACTATCTTTTACTGGAGATTTTACTAAAACATAATTTATTATGTTAATAAATAAAACTGGAGGATTTAAAAGTGAAATGTGTTAGTTTTACAACTTTGTGATTCTTTATTAAATATAGACCTGAAAGGATTGGCGCCTCATAAGAATTTAAATCTTGAAATTAGAGCCTGATCTCCTCAATATAGTGTACTTTATCTGGACGTTTATTCTCAGTGACTTATAAGGGTAAAACTGAAAGAAACTTTGAAAGCTATTCACTCTTGTTTCCAGAATGGGAAAATGTTACTGCTCAAGAAGTATTTGGCAGAGATGTTTTGAAATAAGCTTGGCATGTGTCATTCTGTGGAAATGAGCATCTCAATGGCTTTGTCCCTCTACATATATGGGGGGACCCCAAAAAAACAGAATTATCTTTTGGAGGGTGGGCCCCTTATAGTAGGTTTTTTTCCTCTGGATCAGATGATCAGCCAAAGTTTGTGTGTGTGTGTGTGTGTTGGAGTCTCACTCTGTCGCCCAGACTGGAGTGCAGTGGCTGCTCCCGGCTACCGCAGCCTCGACCCGCTGGGCTCCGGCGATCCTTCCGCCTCAGCCTTCCAAGTAGCTGGAACTACAGGCGCACGCTACCACGCCCGGCTAATGTTTTTTTATTTATTGTGGAGATGAGGTCTCGCCAAGTTGCCTAGGCGGGTCTCGAACCCGCAAGCTCAGGCAATCCACTCACCTCAGCCTCCCAAGGCGCGGGATTACAGGCTGAGCCACCGAGCCCGGCTCAACCAGAGTTTTTATCTGGAAGTTTTTAGAAGGTTGCATCACGAAATATCCAGAGTTGTGGCAAACAGGTGATGGGTTCTTCCATCATAACATACCTGCACACGCCACACTGAGTGTTCTGTAGTTTTTGACCAAAAGCAGCATGATGTGACTTTTTTTCCTTCCCTGGATTAAAAAAGTCTTCACAGGGAAATGTTTTGCTGATATGGAAGAGGTGACACAAAAAACAGCAGGAGCACTAAAAGGCATCAAATTGACGAGTTCTAAAACTGTTTTGAGCAGTGGAAAAAGTGTCTCAATAGGTGTATCAGAGTACTTAAAAGGTTACTGAAGTTTAAACATGCAAGAATAAATAAATTCTGGGTCTTTTTTGGGTCCCCCTTCATATATGTTTCCTTATGTGTATGTGTACCTGTGTACATGTATATATGTATGTGTATGTATTTACATTAAAAAGTATCTATGTTAATGGCGGGTTAGAGGCCATATGCAGAACAACATGAAATCTATTAACTTTGAACAACTTTAAATTCCTTACTCCCAAGGACCATATTCATATGTCTTGAACTGACAGCACCTAATATAGTATCTTGCTTTCGGTCTTTAATTATTTATTTATCGAATTATTATAATTTTGGCTTTACTTCTTAGTTGCAGCTTATTTTTTCACAAGCCCTTAGTGCTTGTAACAAAATCTGCCAACATACATTTTACTTACTTTCACTCTCCTTATGCTGTCTTATGATAAAGGGTCAAGTAAGTAGCAAAACCTTCAAAAAACTAACAGCATTAAAAAAAAAAAACCTTAAAAGATCTAGTCTTTAAATAGTGGAATGTTGAGAGGCAGCTTAGTTTGTATTAAGGGAAAAAAAAGATTTTTGTTAAAAAACCTTTGGAGATGAATGAGCATGATTTAAAGCTCTTAACATATATTTTCCACCCTTTTACTCTGTGGTCTCCATTATGTGTTGTGATTTGGGTGCTCAGGGTTGATAATGTTATATAGCAATGATTGATGCAGAAAGACTGGACAAGTATCTTGTTAGTTTGTTTGTAGCTAAATGATGCCCTTATTGCTGGCATTAGTTTTCTGACCTCTGACATGAAGGTATAACAGCATCTTGGAACATACAGAATTTCACTTATTGATTCCTACAATAATAAAGAAGAGAAAATTCATACCGCTAACACGTTTGTGCCTTCTGTACCCATACATTTCTTTTTCTTTTTCTTTTTCTTTTTTTTTTGAGTTGGAGTCTCACTCTGTTTCCCAGGCACACTCACGGCCACCCCAGCGTCAACCTGCTGGGCTCAGGCGATCCTTCCGCCTGAGCCTTCCAAGCAGCACGAACTACAGGCATGCACTACCAAGCCCAACTAATTTTTTTGTTTATTGTAGAGATGAGGTCTCTCCAAGTTGTGCAGACTGTTCTTGAACCCGTGGGCTCAAGCAGTCCCCTCACGTTGGCCTCCCAAAGTGCTGGGATTACAGGCTTGAGCCACCGGGCCCAGCTATAGCCATACATTTCAATTTCATATTGTCATGCCCAGGACTGTCTAAACCATTATGTTTCATGTGAAATGAGCATGCTGCTGTTAATTTGGCATCTGTATTTCTTTAAAACCTTTTCCGTTCTTATTGGGTTTAATTACAAAAGTTTTTATTGTAAACAGAAAATAATTGATTGCATGTGTGTTAAGTTGAGCTTTTTCTCCCTCTTTCTGTTTTTCTTTTACTGTGTGAGCTCACTTGAATGAAATTATGAACTGTAGAGTCAGGACTTTCCTCTTTATTGGCAGTGTGCAAATCTCCAGGGAGTCAAGATGCTCTGTTCTAATGCGGAAGGCGCATCCCTGAAACTGTGTAATTTTGAGGATCCTTCTGGTCTTAAAGCCAATTTGGAAGGTGAGATCCTGTCTGTAAATACCTGTTCTATGGTGAAAGCATTCTGTAAAGGAAAAAGCCCATCAAAATAATTGTTAAGGATAAACAGGCTAGCTGTAGGGGATAGGTGACTTCTGGCATCATATTTGGAGAATTTGCAAAGACATAAGATGTCTCTGTTCTCGGTCATATGCTAATCAAAATCGAGAACTCATAAGTAATAAACTTAAATATTTACAGAGATTTTAGTTGAAGAATTAAATATAAACATCTTAAACTTTCAAATAGTACAGGATATTCTCATACTGACCAAAAGGAAGAATTCCAGTTTGCAGAAAGACAGAAAAATTTGGGGCTCATTTTTAGGTGTAATATATTGCTTATTAATTCATTGTTGTTGACTGGGCACAGTGATTCATGCCTGTAATCCTGGTACTTTGGGAGGCTAAGGCGGGAGGAATACCTGAGCCCAGGAGTATGAGACCAGCTTTGGCACCATAGTGAGACCTTGTCTCTACAAAAATACAAAAATTAGCTGGGCATGGTGGCATTCACGTATAGTGCCAGTTACTTGGGAGGCTGAGGCAGGAGGATCGCCTAAGCCCAGGAGGTCGAGGCTGCAGTGAACCATGATTGTGCCACTACACTCCAGCCCAGGCGACAAGAGTAAGACCTTGATTTGGGAAAAAAATTCATTATTGTCTTGTGGTATCTGCACTAGCCACTTTGCTTACATGTATATTTCAGAGATAGTATTTAACTCCTTTGTCATAAACTTAGAGGGGCATATTATAAAAGTGCTGGTAAGCGTAAAACAGATTTTAATTTCTCCCCTCAAAAGTATTGATGAAAACATTCTTGACTTATAGAATAAGCAAACAGATTGCTAACATTGTACTATTTGTGTATATATCTTGGTTGAGAGACTGAGATTTAAGTTTTAACTACTCCCAAAATATGTTCACTGTAGGTGCTAATCTGAAAGGTGTGGATATGGAAGGAAGTCAAATGACAGGAATTAACCTGAGAGTTGCTACTTTAAAAAATGCAAAGTTGAAAAACTGTAACCTCAGAGGAGCCACTCTGGCAGGAACTGACCTAGAGGTGAGTTTACCAACGTTGAAAGAGTTCTTGTTAATCTAGAATCACTAAGCACCTCATGCAAATTTATTGAAATCATAAAGGAGTTGGCTGGTAAAACCTCCAGGTAACATGCCAGTTCTCATTTCATTTGCAAAATGTTTACACATATCTGAAATTCCAGAGCCAGACTCAGTTGCATAAAGTCATCGATGCCAGTACCAGATTGGAAGACCCATCTGATTTTCAGTCTAAGTTGATTTCATTTCTCTCCTTTTGTAGGGTCTTTCTCAAGTAGATACATTTAATAGATGCTTTCTTAATCTAATGTATTGTGTTTTTCATAAACTTTAATCCCAAACAAAATTAAAGGGCCAGGTTATTTCTTGAACTACTTGAGAAATTTAAATGATATCCTATCCAGGTTTGAAATCAGGCTCAGGTTTCCTTTTTTTTTTTTTTGAATCTCAGCTTGAGATTTTAATTTTGTCCAGTCATCTTTTTCATAAGAATTGTGTTCTGTCTTTTTGACTTTCAGATTTAGCTAATTGGCCCAATAGTTGTTGATAGGTCTATACCAGCACTACTAGCCTTTCTTCAATGAGGGACATGTTCTATATCTGTGCTGTTTAGTACAGTAGCTACATATAGCTGTTGGGCACTTGAGATGTGGCTAGTGCAAGTGAAAAATTGATTTCTAAATTTAACTTAAATAGCCGCATGTGGCTGGTAGCTGTCATAGTGAACAGTAGCTCTATACAAAAAAATCTGTGGGTTCCTAGAATACTTACCTAGCAGGGGAAGTAAGTAATACAAGGGGCCAGCCCTCCAAAAGATAATTCTGGATTTCTTTGGGTCCCACCTCATATGTGTCATGTCTTCACAAAGGCAAAAAAAAAAAAAAAAATCCCATTTAATAACTTCTTCTGTGTGCATAATACTAAAATTTTCAAAACTAAAAGAAAAACTGGCATAGATTGGATTATAGAGAACAATGTGTCAAAATTTCATATGCTGTTGTTTTCTTTAAAAAAGTGGTTTACCTTGATCTTTTGGTAACTCGCAACTGCAAAGTAGCAGACCCCCTTAGACTTTAAGGCATGAAGCACTGGTCTAAGGCAGATAGTATAAAAATGTTAAGACGGGGAATGACAAATTTTGTTACACAATTTAATTATTAAGTAAAGCTTCAGATTTAAAAAAAATAATCTTCTTTCATCTTGTGCCTTTTGATGTTCTTCTTGGATTGTGATAAAATTGTTTAGATCATATTTGTTACATTGGAACCCATTCTGGATTTTAAATGCCTAATTCTGAAATACACAAACAGAAGGGACAGATTTCCTCTTACCCTTTGTTTCGACATACTTGTGGTGGTCAGCATGAATATCAACTAGAGATAGCAAATACAGATAGAAGAAAATCTGACCTTAGGGTATATAGTCAAAAGTTTTCTGGAAGTTTACTGAGTTTTATTATACAGTAAGTCTTCTACATACGAACCTTCAGGTTATGAACTTTAACAATGAACACCTGTGGTCTTTAATGTATTATTTTTCTCACCAGGTGTCAGGATAGCCTGTTAAATACAGACAGTACAATACAGCTGATTGTGTTAGTTGGATACCCAGGCTGACTTTGTTGGACTTGTAACAAATTGGACTTACAAGGGCAACCTCTTCGGGTTCGCTCCCACTGTGGGAGCTTTTCTGTCCTCTCAATAAATCCTGCTTTCTCACTTTAAAAATAAATAAATAAACAAACTGGACTTACAAATGTGCTCTCAGAATAAAACTCATTTGTAGACTGAGGAAATTTTAGTAGGAAATGTAAATTCATTATTGTTTCTGTACAGGAAATTTTCTTACTATGCCCCAGAAATCCTTTTGAGAGGAAACAGGTAAGGCCTTAGACCCTCACATGAGTCCCATGAATGCTGTTTTTGTCTTACAGAATTGCGATCTGTCTGGGTGTGATCTTCAAGAAGCCAACCTGAGGGGGTCCAACGTGAAGGGAGCTATATTTGAAGAGATGCTGACACCTCTCCACATGTCCCAAAGTGTCAGATGAGAATGTTGGGGGCTGGAGGAAGATGTGCAAGATGAACGTGTTTTCTTTATCACTTTTCTTTCTCCACCCACTCAGTTGTCTAGAAGAAATAACACTGTAAGGGAATATCAAAACAACAGAGAATTCTGCTTGTTCTCAGCAGTGCATAAGGGAAGAAACTGACTTTTTTTCCACATTCTGATTTTAGCAGAGATGCACTCATTTACTAGATGTAGGGAAACTAGATTGTATTGCTGCCTTTGGAATGGGGTAGGGGGATTTGCCTGGTTTTATGACCAGGAATAGTATCTATTATATTTGCTTTTAAATAGGCATGATGTGGAAATACCATCTTGGTTTGAGATGCATTTGAGGATTTTAATTTATGAAAAGCACAACATATGCAATTATATTTATTGAATGCTTAGATGCAGTATGGATATTTAAATTGTTAAACTTTATGAAAACTTTGAAAAGGGTGTTCAGGTTTATAAATAGCTTTAGTGATGCCTCCCCTCTTTAAATACCTGTCACACTGTAGGAATATGGTGAGATCAGACTCCTAAGACTCTCTTTTCAGGTTCATTTTTATAATGTTTACTTTTTTTAGAACAAAGTAGTAGTTAAAGAAATATTCAGTTCCTACTGATTGAGACAGAGTGGAAAAGAAAGAGATCATTGTACATCACCGTTGGTGGAACTCTCCAGATGGAGTAAGACTTACCTGCAGCATTTTTTATTTTTTATTTTTGAGTTGGAGTCTCACTCTGTCGCCCAGGATGGAGTGCAGTGGCCGCTCCCGGCCACCGCAGCCTCGACCTGCTGGGCTCCGGCGATCCTTCCGCCTCAGCCTTTCAAGGAGCTGGAACTACAGGCACGCGCTACCACATCCAGCTAGTTTTTTTTTTGACTTATCGTAGAGATGAGGTCTCACCAAGTTGCCCAGGCAGGTCTCGAACCCGCAGGCTCAGGCAGTCCACTCACCTCAGCCTCCCAAGGCGCGGGATTACAGGCTGAGCCACTGAGCCCGGCTACCTGCAGCATTTAAATGCAGCATTTAAATGAACATTTCTCAGAGTTGTATTCTAAGAAGTTCCACTCAACACCAGACCAGGCGATTCTACATATTTACACTACTAGCCTAGTTTTCTCATGTACAATCAACACAAGCATAGGAAGACACTTCAGAACCAGAAAACCAAGGTGCATCATTAATATTCACTTAATTAAAATGCCAAATAGTTTAAATAGGGCCAGCTTAGAAATAGGTATTAAATTCAAATCTACTGCAGCCAAAACTGTAAAATGTGAATGAATATGGCCAAGGGCCCTTTAAAAGGTAACATAATATAATTGCAGCTAGAGCCCTACAAAAGGGAATGAGGAATTTTAAACTGACATTATAGCTACCAGAAAAATAATAATAAATAGAAATAAGGGCATTTGGCTGGTCCAAGATGTAATACCAATTAATTAGTCAGCACCTGTGGTTCTTTTACTTCTATTGTTTGTTTGCTTGTTTGTTTTTTAACAAATGTTAGCCCAGTTTTCTCGAATCATGATCTCTGCAGTAGCAGAGATGGGGCTGTACCTCCTGACCGGTAACCTGATGTCCTTATGTCTACCCCATGAGCAGGGATATAAGCTGTGTCCAAATGGGTTCTGAATTCTACAGACTCGTCAACTTGAGGCAATGAATCATTCGATACCACTTTTGTCTCCTTTGGGAGAACGACATATCTTCAGTATTTCTGTAGCTTCTTCTTCTATATCTACATATGCAAAGCTTTCCTCAACAGTAAAGGGCACGTACATGTGGTAGGTGGAGAGCGGACCTTTACCCGTGCAGGAAAGCGACTTCAAAAATGAATTATTTTCTTTGCTTTATTATTTTTACCAAGACAGAGAAGTATTGTATTGAGAGATATCTATTTTCATAATCAATACGTGCCTAAATTATATTTAAATCATTTCACTCTGTACTATATTTTCAATAATGATAGAATGTGTTATTCATTCACTTAAGGTACCTCTGTAGACATAACCTAAAACTGCAGAAGGATCTGGAAGATCTGTACACAGTTTGCTTAGAAACTGCAGGTTTTAGATCTAATGTGTACCGCATTAATAAACGACATAAAGTGTTGAAAAGGAGTGTCTTCTCTTGCTTTTGAAATACATTTCTTCACTGTGTGTTGATAGCCAGCCCTGAGGTTTTGGGTAGCGAGGGAAACACCATGTGACAATTGTCATGGATTCAATTCGTATCTGAATGTACCATTAAAGTAAATTCATTTCTTTAAACAAGACTATTTTATAATCCTCTTTTTAAAATCCACCATGCTAACAACACGAATCTGATTCTGAACAGAAGACTGCCTTCCCAGTAATTTGTGTGATTTGTTGTGTTGCTTTGTAACTGGTGAATATTACCAGTTAGCTTTATTAGGTCAGATACTATTCCCCCCAAAAAAACATTTTTCACCTGACATCTGGGAGGGAGAATCTTGAGGAGGGAGGAAAGTTTCAAAATAGGAAAATGTCCGTTAACTCTAGTGATGAAACAAATGTTTCTGTACACATAGGTAAAAATTCAGTTGTTGGGAGATGACTAGAAAAAGGCTTTAAATCTACATTAGCTAGATTATGTATGTTGATAAAATTTGGCTCTTGATTATCTAAAGCAGTACATATCTAATGTAGTGTAGTCTAGTTCTTACAACTATAGTCTTGAGGGGATTTTAGTAGGAAATGTAAATTCATCGTTCTAATGAAAATGTTGGGCTATTTTCTCCAGTTCATTTTATCAATCTGATGGCTATACTGTAAATGTATCCATGTCAACTTCAAGTCATCCTTAATATATGAAAACTCCAGAATTAAATCCCAAGGAAGTAGTATCTTTAAAATTAAAATGTTCACTAATACCAAGAAAAGTGGTTACATGATTTCACATAAAGCGCCTTATCAAGGACTAATTCCCTGAAGCCCTTTTCCAATGCAATTAGCGATGTGATCAGCGATGTCAGCAGGAGTTCGCCGCCAACACTTCCTGCCGAGGTTCTGCATTAGGGGGAATGTGTTTTTTTATCCATCGTTCAGCAAGATCACAAAGCCATCATCGTAATGATTTGGAGGTGTTTTGATGTTGACAGTGAAGCAGTTTTTCCTCTAAACCATTCTTTCAAATAGCAACAACTATAATATCCAATGATTGAAACCCAATTTATTAAATCTAATTTCTTGGTAAACCGACCTAACCATGGAATCATGAAAGGGCTCAAAGCCTGTCATTTAACATCAAACTTTGCATCGTGCTTTGATTTTCCTATGTGGTGCTGTAGAAAGTGAGACTAAACAAATTTGACTTTTGCCCTTGAGAGCTATGTGACCTAGGACAATATTAATGCAGACTTACAGGACATAGTGGACAAATTCATAGACCATGTTGCTGGTGTTCATCTTACAAGTTTCACAGCGTTTTTCAAAAATTTGATACCAACGGATAGAAATAATGTGCAAGAAATCCAGGGAGGCCTTCCCAGAGATAAGGATTCATCTGACAATAGAAGTCATAAGTCTTGACTCCCGTTGCATTAGTCCCAACCAAAGACCACATTTTCTGCTTAAGCAACACTGAGAAGCACATCTCTTTCAGTAAACAGGAAATCAATTGGACAATTTAAACTAACTTCAGGCAATGAACTCTTGTTGAAAAGTAGCCTCTCCCTTATCTACATACATATTCTAGTGAGCTGAAATTCCACTGATGCTGGAATAACACTTGTTTGACTCAAAAGTGTCTAAATGAAATAAACGATTTAAATGAAATAAAGTCGAGTGCTTAAGCTTTATCTTAAAATCCCCCTCTACTTGCAATGATGCTTTAAAGTTTTATCATGAGGATTGGACAGCCTCGGCAGAGATGGCTGGGCAGTGCAAGGGAATTTATTTGGCGAAATGCTATTCCTCTTTTCTCGAAAATCCCTGCAAATATAATTATTCCAGAGGATACTGGGCAATGACTGATTGGTTCAGCATCCTTCCTGAGGGTATATCACCAATCCCAGCTCTTATCACCAATCCCAGCTCTTAAATGAACAAATACCAGTTATTTCTTAGCCATCTTGCAGCTTAGCTAATGTAACGGGCCTCACAGACAATTGTAAATGAAGGTTTAATTCGGTGTCAGGTAGAGCATATCGCTGATGCAGAAACAGAGAAAGCATTAGACCCAATCTGGGTAAAAGTGTGTTCCCGTCTCTTCAGCCATCCATTAATTCATTCATTCATTCAAACCTATACTTACTGAATACTGACTAAATTCCAGGACGGTATTATAAATAACATGACTGGCCGGGCTCAGTGGCTCAGCCTGTAATCCCAGCACTTTGGGAGACCAAGGTGAGTGGATTGCCTGAGCCCATACAATTTGATGAGACCTCGTCTCTACAATAAAAATTTAAAAAGTAGCCAGGCGTGGTAGCACGTACCTGTAGTTGCAGCTACTTGGATGGCTGAGGCAGAAGGATCACCGGAGCCCGGTCAACACTGGGGTGGCCGTGAGTGTGCCACTGCACTCCAGCTTGGGCGACAGAGTTAGACCCCAACTCAAAAACTAAACAAACAAACAGAGCTATTGACTATTATGGGTTACAGCCTAAGGATAAATTAGAGAGAATAATCATGTATTCAAATAAATGTAATAAAGAGTAATGGTACTCTCTTATTTTTATATGCTTGTGCTATATAAACAATATGTCCAAGGTCACATCTCTGGGAGGAAGCTCTATAAAATTTGGATAATAGTACCTGCTGTAACGATGAGTGGTCTTATTCACACACCCTGTAACTGTAATTTCTTGTCTTTGTGCTCCCATTACCCTTGACACGGTGATTTGCATACTTATTCACCAGGTTGCCCAGGCTGGTCTCGAACCTGTGGTCTCAGGCAATCCACTCGCCTCAGCCTCCAAAGTGCTGGGATTATAGGCTTGAGTCACCACGTCCAGCCTATATTGTATTCTTACTACAATATTTATTTTTGCTTTTGTGATGCTTTGGACAGCTTTCACCATAAGGAGAAAACCTGGTGAACAGGAAATGAGAATTTTCAAACTCACAATATCTGCGTTAGGATTCTATGTGGACTTGACATTAACTAATTACTAATGGTGCCAATAACTAATGTTATACATCAGATTTTTTTTTTTTTTTTTTTGAGTTGGAGTCTCACTCGGTCGCCCAGACTGGAGTGCAGTGGCCGCTCCCGGCCACCGCAGCCTCGACCTGCTGGGCTCCGACGATCCTTCCGCCTCAGTCTTCCGAGTAGCTGGAACTACAGGTGCGCGCTACCACGCCCGGCTAATTTTTTTGATTTATTGTAGAGATGAGGTCTCGCCAAGTTGTCCAGGCGGGTCTCGAACCCGCGGGCTCAGGCCATCCACTCACCTCAGCCTCCCAAAGGTGCGGGATGACAGGCTGAGCCACCGAGCCCGGCTAAATCAGATTTTTTTAATTGCAAGCAACCCTGTGATCATCTTGTCCAAATCTCTTCTTTTACAAATGAGGAATCTAAGAGCCAAGATGCTCTCAGACATCCTGACTCAACTTCCCTATGTATTCCACAGCCTCCTTTGTGAAAGTCATGTGTGCATTCAACATCAGTTCATCTAAGACATCCACTTACCTTGAACTTTTGATAGATCTTCCAGTTTCCTCAAGGGAATCCAACCTAGCTAGGTTTTAATCTCTTTGAATTGTGGCTTCAGCTAATAGACGTTTTAGCTGAGGTTTTAATGGCTGGACTTAAGTAAATTTAACAGACACACCAGCGGGTGCTCCAATTACATACACCATTAAAGGGCTTTAAGTAAGGATTAAAAAATTATTACTTAAAAAAAAAAAAAAAGCGTAGCCCATGTGCAGTATAATTTACCAGCAGGAAATATTTCAACGTTCTGGAAAAGTTTCATATAAAAAGGAAGCTAGGAAAATGGAAAAGTCACAGTACTCGGCATACTTCGGAGGAAGTTTGGGACCCTTTTGGCTCTGCCTCTGAACAGGTGAAATGCTTTGTATCTCTAGCACTGAATTCTTCTTGTCTGGATTGTATGTCTACAGGGCATTTATCGCCCCAAGGGCTAAGCCTAAAGAAACCTTGTCCTTTCCTGTCCTTGTCACCACCAGCCAGCCACAAGATCTAGCCTTTGGGGAATCGGCCAGTATTTGATTCTGTCTTTAGCTTCTTCCTTATCAAATGAAAATCAACTTGGAGATCCATTTCTTTTTCTTTTTTTTTTTCAGTTGGAGTCTCACTCCGTTGCCCAGGCTGGAGTGCAGTGGCACGCTCCCGGCCACCGCAGCCTCGACCTGCTGGGCTCCGGCAATCCTCCCGCCTCAGCCTTCCAAGTAGCTGGAACTACAGGCTTGCAATACTATGCCCGGCTAATTTTTTTTTTTTTTTTTTAATTGTAGAGACAAGGTCTCACCAAGTTGTCCAGACTGTTCTCAAACCCGCGGGCTCAGGCAATCCACTGGCCTCGGCCTCCCAAAGTGCTGGGATTACAGGCTTGAACCCCTGCGCCCAGCCTGATCCATTTCTTTAGATTAAAAATAGAGGCCCCATTGGCTAGGGAGTCATTGGTCTGGGACTCTCTGCTTTGGGCAGTCAGTGTTGAGTCCCCTCCCTCCCCCAGATGGTGCAGCCAGCGGTAAAATGCTTGGAAGACCATAGGACAGAGAGTCAGCAAAGTGTCATTAGTACCACGGGGTAGCCATTGAATGTCAAGCCACTTTATATCCGCCAGAGATTCCTAGCAGGAGGTACTTTACAGAGCGGATGGCCCAGTGCTCTTTAACTCATGAACGATGGAGCTAAAAACCAATCTGCCATGGGGGAAATGGTAAGGTATGAAGGTGAACTTGGTAAGGAATGCGTCATGGGGTTTGGAGATCCAAACATACAGTAAACGTAAAAACAGACTACTTCAGTCCTAAGAAGTTCTAAGCATGAGTTTACAGTACTAATCTTGTCCCCAGGGACTGAGAAACTCAAGGTCAGCAAGCAGGTATCTCTGTGTTGCAGAGTCTGTGTGAAAATTATATGGCTCTAATTTCCATCTTCTGAAGGGTCTATGACCCTGCGGACTTCACTAAAGAGGCCTTTATCTGAACTCTTCACTAAAGTGGTTCATTCTGGGTCTATTTTGATTGTGCACACATGTTCCTTAGAATGGAGGTGATTCCAAAATTTCTAGCTGGACTCGTTCTGCTGACTCTATGTGTGGAGAGCTGTTCCAGCCAGCATTGGTCCTATGGATTGCGCCCGGGAGGCAAGAGAAATGCTGAAAATGTGATTGATTCTTTCCAAGAGGTGAGTTTCTCTCAGCTTTAAAATAAGACATAGCCTTTTTTTTTTTTTTTCTTTTCTTGAGTCAGAGTCTCACTCTGTAGTCCAGGCTGGAATGCAGTGGCACGATCAGAGTTCACTGCAGCCTCAAACTCTGCCTCAGTCTCCCAAGCAGCTGGGTTACAGATGTGTGCTGCCATGCCTATTTTGTTTGTTTGTTTTTTTCCTGTAAAGACAGGATCTTGCAAAGTTTGCTAGGCTGGTCTCAGACTCCTGGCTCAAGCAAACCTCCCACCTCGGCCTCCCAAAGTGCTGGGATTACAGGAGTGAGCCACTGCACTGGGCCAGATGTAGCTTTTTAAATTCACTTTAACTCTGTTAAACATTTGCTATGAGCCTCAATAGCACTGCTCTATGCAGTCGCCTAGTTACTCCAGGTCAGAGAAGATACTTGCAATAAGAAAGAAAAAAAGCAGAGGTTCTAAGATGTTCTTTCAATCCAGTCAGGAACTAAAGAAACAAAGAGCAAGACAAATTCCAAGCAAAGATAGCAGCAACATGTGTGAGATAATATTTCGTCCTCTGAGTGTACGGAATTGCCAAAGAAATAAGAAACAATGGCATACAGCCAAGATCTCGGGGAGATGAATCTTTAGGATTTGGAAAGAACATCTTAGAACTTCTGCCTATTTTTTTAATTTCATCTTTTAAAAATATTTATGACATTGGATCAGTACTACATTTTAATACTTTATAAATAAGCGTTCTTATCAAGGATGTGTGCCCTATAATTTCTTTTCACTGACAGGGGAATTTAAGCAAAGAGGTAGGAGACTGCCAGAATATAGGAGTTAGCAAACTCAAGACCACAAAATACCACAGTGGAAAACACACTGGATTTATTTCATTTCATGTAGATTAGATTATAATATTAGCTCCAGCACTAACATGGGGCACTTGTGTGTTTTTTAAAATTCTTTATAAAATGTGACCCCACAGGGTCATGTGAGGAAATTTAACTAGAGAAACTTAAAACCATTTAATTTTCATTGGAAAGAAATACCTCTTTTGGGAGAAATAGCAACGATAACTTAGTATTAAACTAAGAAGCCCCAGAATCTAAAGTCTCTTCTCCACAGATTATATGTGAAGTAAGTCTCAGTTAACTATGACATATTTAAAGCTGAATGCGGTGGCTCACGCCGGTAATTGTAGCACTTAGGGAGGCCGAGGCAGGAATACTGCTTGAGTCCAGGAGTTTGAGACCAGCCTGAGCAGCATAGCGAGACCCCATCTCCACCAAAAAAATAAATAAAAATTAGCCAGACATGGTTGTGCATGCCTGTAATCTCAGCTACTCAGGAGACTTACGCGGGAGGGTTGCTTGAGCCCAGGAGTTCGAGGTTGCAGGCCATGCCACCGCAAACCAGCCTGGGCGACAGAGTGGGACCATGGCTCAAAAACAAACACGCAAACAAAAACGATGACATATTCAGTATAAACTAGAAAATTAAAACCAACTCTATTCACAACTATGACTTGTTTTTGTGTGTGTGTGCCATTTCCTCACAAGACTCAAAGCACGTCCCTCTCAAATCCTCTCCAAGGAGAAAGTCTCCCTGTCTCCACCACCTCCAGACCTCCACGCTGTTCATGGGGAAATGCCTGGCGGCTGATCGGTGACCTTCAAGTCCCCACCCAGTCCTGCAGCTTTCTCAGTCCCCAGTACCCCCTTCAGTCCCATGGCCTTCTTGGCCTCTGTCTCCACCGACAATTTTTGATGGAGATGAAAATTCCATTTTTTTTCCATTTCTTTGGCTCCCTCACCAAGAATTGCATTCTTTTTCTTCAGATAGACAAAGAGGTCGGCCAACCGGCAGAAGTCCAGCGCTTCGACTGCACCGTCCACCAGCGACGGTCGCCTCTCAGGGACCTGAAAGGAGCTCTGGTGAGTTCAAGTGATCTTCACATGGAATCCTAGAGGTGAAAAAGCCCTCGGGGATCACCCTAGCTACCTCCCAGCCGCTGCAGGGCTTCCTGATGACTGGGGTAGCTCCTGCGGTGGGGTGCTCACTATTTCTTTCTTTTTTTTTTTTTTTTTTTGAGTTTGAGTCTCACTCTGTCGCCCAGACTGGAGTGCAGTGGCCGCTCCTGGCCACTGCAGCCTCGACCTGCTGAGCTCTGGCAATCCTTCCACCTCAGCCTTCCGAGTAGCCGGAATTACAGGCATGCGCTACCACGCCCGACTGATTTTTTGGTTTATTGTAGAGATGAGGTCTCGCTGCCCAGGCGGGTCTCGAACCCGCGGGCTCAGGCAATCCACTCACCCCAGCCTCCCAAAGGCGCGGATTACAGGCTGAGCCACCGAGCCCAGCTGGTGCTCACTATTTCATGACACCCTCCTTTCAGTGGTTAGACGGCACTAGTGGTTGAAGCTTTTGTGTTTTCTGAAAACCAATTTAAATCTCCGTGTAAACTTTATCTGCTAATCCTGGCTCTAGCGTTTGGTATGACCAATAAAACAGATTTCTTCCCATTGCTATATTTCAGTTTTTTTAATTTTTTGAGAGACAAGGTCTCGTTCTGTTGCCCAGACCGGAGTCCAGTGACACTCTCATAGCTCACTGTATCCAGTGACACTCTCATAGCTCACAAGCAATCCTCCTATCTCAGCCTTCTGAGTAGTTGGAACAGTAAGAGTGCACAACCAGACCTGGCTAATTTTTTATTTTTTTTTATTCTTTTTAAATTTTTATTTATTTATTTATTTATTGAGTTGGAGTGTCACTCTGCCGCCCAGACTGGAGTGCAGTGGCCACTCCCCACCACTGCATCCTCGACCTGCTGGGCTCCGGTGATCCTTCCGCCTCAGCCTTCTGAGTAACCAGAACTACAGGCATGTGTTACCACGCCTGGCTGATTTTTTGATTTATTGTAGAGATGAGGTCTCGCCAAGTTGCCCAGGCGGGTCTTGAACCCGTGGGCTCAGGCAATCCACTCACCTCAGCCTCCCAAAGCACGGGATTACAGACTGAGCCATCAAGCCCGGCTAAACCTGGCTAACTTTTAAAATTTTTTTGGTTGAGGGGGGTCTCACTATATTGTCCAGGCTGGTCTCGAACTCCTAAGCTCAAGTGAACCTACTGCCTCGGCTCCCCAAAGTACTGGGATTATAGATGTGAGTCACTGTGCCTGCCCTTTATATTTCAGTTCTTAAAGTAGAATCATCAAACCTCCTCAACTACCCTTTTCCAGGCTAATCCACACCCCTCCAATTGATTCTGCAATTGTACTTGGTATGACATGGTTTTCCAGAACCCTGGGAAATATGGAAATCATAGACTCTGCCTTTGGGATGACAGACAAAACAAATTTCTTCTCATTGCTATAATTCAGTTCTTTCTTTATTTCTATTTTTTTTAGAGACAGAGTCTTGCTCTGCCACCCAAGATGGAGTGCAGTGGGGTGATCATAGCTCACTGGAGCCTCGAACGCCTGGGCTCAGCCTCCCAAGTAGCTGGGGCTCCAGGCATGTGCCACCACACCTGGCTTAATCTTTTTCTTTATCTTGCTTACTGCATGATAAAAATAATAACAAGCAGCGGAATTTGCCAAATGTGACATTGTTAAGAAATTGAAGCAAAGTCTGGTTTAGAAGCAAATGGATTGATCAGACCTTTTCCACATTTTCTTCCTCACATCTTATCCTTAAATGTTTGATGTAGATTTTATGTTTATTAAGCAGCTTAAAAAGACACAATCGAGGCTGGGTGCGGTGGCTCACGCCTGCAATCCTAACACTTAGGGAGGCCAAGGAGAGAGAATTGCCTGAGCCCAGGGGTTCAAGACAGCCTGGGCAACTTGGCAAGACCTCCTCTCTACAATAAATTAAGAAAAATTAGCCAGGTGTGGTGGCGCTCACCTAAAGTTCCAGCTCCTTGGAAGGCTGAGGCGGAAGGATCACCTGAGCCCTGCGGGTCAAGGTTGCAGTGGCTGTGAGTGTGTCACTGCCTTCCAGCCTGGGGGACAGAGTGAGACTCTGACTCAAAAAAAAAAAAAAAAAAAAAAAGACACAGTCATATCTCCCTGGCATTACAGCACAAGAATAAATGAACCTATTCCTTCTGAACTGATATTTTAAGAATTAAAATGTCCAAAATGCAATGAAGTTCAGCACCAACTTTGATCTATTCGTTGCTCATATATTTTTCAGGAAAGTCTGATTGAAGAGGAAACTGGGCAGAAGATTTAAATCCATTGGACCAGACGGATTGACAACACTTAAGTGTAATTCTGACGCTGAAATTTGTGACCCACTGAATGCCTGTAAACTGAATTCGGAAGCTCTTGTGCCCAGCTGTGCACATGTCATAATAAAGTGCTGTGCTGTGAATGTCGGAACACTGAAGTTTCCCAGAACCCTGGGGAAGGGACTTTGTAAGCCTGCCAGAGGGAGCCCTCCATGTGTGAGTGCAGGCAGCGGATGGGAAGGGGGATGAGTTGAGTGTCTACTGTTGGCTAAACCTGGCTCCCCTGCACCCCAAGAAGAACAGCCCATATTGGCCCAACCCCCCAAAAATCAATTCAGCTACAGTTCCAGTCTGCTGGTTCCACGTTCACTGCCCCGTTCTGCCCTATGATGGGCAACCAGTGGAAAGGGATTTGGAAGGTGGGTTATTTCGTCAGTTGGACACTGGGGCTCATGACACAACTTAGCCTTACCTGTGACCACTTCTCCATGAGTTCTCAGGCACTGGGATGGGAATATTCTTGTGTAGCCTCATAACTTTCTAGTGGCTATGAGACCATTTGAAAAACCCAAATTTCAGACAGTTTGCCCCATGTCTGCAACAAATGGACATGGACTTTTCCCTCTTAAATCGGACAGATGAAACCCCACCCCCTCCTTCCTTTTCACCTCAAAAAAAAAAAAAAAAAAGTAGGAGATCTGTGCTAAGAAATTTGAACAGGGGTGGTCTGAAACATCCCATGTGGGAAAAACTGTTCTTTTTTAAAGCAAATATTTGCTGCTACTCCACAGAGTTAGATTACACAGATATTTCCACTTGAATAATCTCTAGAACCGAACCAAAGACCTTCACTCCCACTAAAATTAAGCAGTGACGTGATCCAACCTGTTTTATGAAACAAAAGCAGAACTGCATTATTTCATTAGTGAACACATAAAAGTAGGCTGAGAGGCATCCACTTGCCCCTCAGGAACTTTGTGTGTGTGTGTGTGTGTGTGTGTGTGTGTGTGTGTGTGTGTGTGTGTGTGTGTGTGTGTTTTGGAGTCTCACTCTGTTGCCCAGGCTGGAAAGCAGTGGCACGTTCATGGCCACCACAGCCTCAATCTGCTGGGCTCAAGTGATCCTTCCATCTCAGCATTCCAAGTAACCAGAACTACAGGCATGTGTCACCAAGCCTGGCTAATTTTTCTGGATTTATTGTAGAGATGAGGTCTCGCCAAGTTGCCCGGGCTGTTCTCAAACCCGTGGGCTTAGGCAATCTCATCACCTTGGCCTCCCAAAGTGCTGGGATTACAGACTTGAGCCACCGCTGGAACTATTTTTTTAAAAATGAAAACAAGGCTGGACTTGGTAGCTCAGCCCGAAGGCTGAGGCAGAAGGATTGCCTGAGCCCCGCGGGCCAAAGCTGGGGTGGCCGTGAGTGTGCCACTGCACTCCAGCCTGGGCAACAGAATGAGACTCCAACTCCAACTCCAACTCCAAAAAAAAAAAAAAAGAAAAGAAAACAGTATAATTTACAATCTTTACATTTGCTAACACATTACAAAAGGCAACAGAGCCACTTGGTGTAAGCATCCTGCTAAAAGCATCAGGTTTCCTTTGCCAAAGTTTGTCTTTGGGACAATTTCTTTGGAGCTAACTGTGGGCCTCCCTGAATAGAATAAAAAGATGCTCATCCGGCTGCCTGATGCTGACGTTAAAAGTTTTTAGAAACAGGGTCTCATTATGTGCCCAAACTGGTCTTGAACTCTTGGCCTCAAGCAATCCTCCCACCTCAGGTGATGTTTTACAGCCTATGTGAGCATGTTGGGTACCCTCGAGTCTCAAATGGCCCCAATGACCAAGAGGAAGGAGAGAGTGAAAATGACCCCTCTGGAGTCAAGCATGGCGCCTGTAATTCCAGCTACTCTATTCTGGAGGCTGAGGCAGGAGGATTGCTTGAGCCCAGGCAACACAGCAAGACCTGGTCTCTAAAAATAATTAGCCAGGCATGGTCCCAGCTACTCGGGAGGCTGAAGTGGGAGGATCAGTTGAGCCCTGGAGTTGCAGCCTGCTGTGAGCTGTGATTGTGTCATAGCACGCCAGCTTCAGTGACAGAATGAAACCTCATCTTTAAAAAAAGAAAATGAGACTGGGCTCGGTGGCTCAGTCTGCAATCCCAGCACTTTGGGAGGCTGAGGTGAGTAGATTGCCTGGGCCCATGGGTTCGAGACCCACCCAGGCAACTTGGCGAGACCTCGTCTCTGCAATAAATAAAAAATTAGCCGGGCGCAGTAGCGCACGCCTGTAGTTCTGGTTACTAGGAAGGCTGAGGCGGAAGAATCATCGGGGCCCAGAGAATTGAGGCTGCGGTGGCCGGGAACGTGCCAATGCACTTCAGTCTGGGTGACAGCGTGATATGCCAACTCAAAAACAAAAATAACAACAACAAAAGAAAATGATTCCTTTATTAAAATCACTCACATGTTCCTGAGTCTGAAGAACTCTAACACATCAATGTCGCTTCAGAAAAAAGGGGGCTCCATCCTTTTAAAATAAAGGGTGGGGAAACACATCAAATGATACATTTAATGAAAGGTGTTCTTGAAGGTATATAGCTTTAAATGATCAAATAGAAAAAAAAAAGGCTAGAAAATTATCATTTCAGTGAAAGTTTTAGAAGTTGCAATATCTTAGAGACTGGAAAAAAGCCAAGAATGAATGCATGAGACAACAGCACTTAGATCTTGACAGTGGAAGACATTGTAAAATAATATTTCTCCATGGGGATTCCAAAAGATTCACCAACACTGGGGATTTTTCTCGAACTCCTAGCCTCATACAATCCTCCTGTCTCGGCTTCCCAAAGTGCTGGGATTATAGGTGTGAGTCATGGTGTCTGGTCCCTACTGGGGATTTTTAAACAAGCATCCTGGTGATTCTGGTGCATGTAGACACTGGAACATTACTGCTTCTATTTATTATTTTTTAAAAAAATTTTGAGACAGGGTCTTGCTCTGTCCAGTTTTATTTTTGATTAAATTATTATTTTTTAGAGACAGGGTCTTGCTGTCACCCAGACTGGAGGGCAGTCATGTGATCATAGCTCACTGCAGCCTCAAACTCCTGGGCTCAAGTGATTCTTCCACCTCAGCCTCCAGAGTAGTTGGGATTGCAGGTGTGTGCCACTGTACCCAGCTATTTTTTTTTGAGTCAGAGTCTCACTCTGTCGCCCAGACTGGAGTGCAGTGGCCGTTCCCGGCCACCGCAGCCTTGACCTGCTGGGCTCCGGCGATCCTTCCGCCTCAGCCTTCTAAGTAGCCGGAATTATAGGCATGCGCTACCACGCCCGGCTGATTTTTTGATTTATTGTAGAGATGAGGTCTCGCTGCCCAGGCATTTTTTTTTTTGGTAGAAGGTTACTCTATGTTGCGTTGGCTGGTCTTGAACTCTTCGTCTCCGTCTCTAAATAAATAGTAAATTTAGTTACTCTAAATTGAAGGGTGGCTGCCACTTCCCTGTCTCCAACTTGACCCATCACCAGCAGGAATTTTACAAAACACACCTCAAATACCAATTTTCTAAAGTTGTATTTCCTCTAAGGTAGTGGTTTCTCAACATGGGCCTAACACTGGAATAACATGGTGGGGATTTAAAAGAAAGACAGGCCGGGCGTGGTGGCTCAGCCTATAATCCCAGCACTTTGGGAGGCCAAGGCAAGAGGATTGCCTGAGCCCACGGGTTCGAGACCACCCTGGGCAACTTGGTGACACCTTGTCTCTACAATAAATCACACACACTCAAAAACTAGCCAGATGCGACGGCGTGTGTCTGTAGTTCCAGCTACTTGGAAGGCTGAGGCGGAAGGATCACCTAAGCCCAGCAGGTGGAGGCTGCAGTGGCTGTGAGCGTGCTGCTGCACTCCAGCCTGGGCGAAAAGAGTGAGAAAAAGAAATACAGATGCCTGGGTTCCTACTCCACATCCTCAGAAATTCTGATATGGTCTGGGGTGCGGCCTCTTCCCAGGTAATACCGAAGTTAAGCCACCACGCCCAGCCTTTCTTTCTTTACTGTGCCTAATTATCCATGGGGAATGTCGTGAAGCCAAACCCATGACCAGGTGCAATGGCTCATCCCTGTATCCCAGTACTTTGAGAGGCTGAGACAGGAGGCTCTCTTGAGCCCAGGAGTTTGAGACCAGCCTGGGCAACATAGCAAGACCCTATCTCTAAAAAAAAAAAAAAAAAAAAATTAGCCAGGCATAATAGTGTGCTCCTGTAGTCCCAGCTATTCAGGAAGCTGATACAGGAGGACTGCCTGAGCCCCGGAAGTTGAGGCTGTGGTGAGCTGTAACCATGCCACTGCACTTTGATGTGGGCAATATAGCAAGATCCCGTCTCTCAACAAAAGAAAAATGAATAGAACACATGCACATTATAAATTTCTAACGGAAAACTGTCAGCTGAGATGTCAAAAGGATGGATGGAAGTGTGAAAAGAACCAAATGATTAGCAGTTTTTTTGGAATTGGAGTCTCACTCTGTCGCCCAGGCTGGAGTGCAGTGGCACACTCACGGCCACCCCAGCGTTGACCCACTGGGCTCTGGCAATCCTTCTGCCTCAGCCTTCCAAGCAGCCAGAACTACAAGTGCATGCTACCATGCCCAGCTAATTTTTTGATTTATTGTAGAGATAAGGGCTCGCCAAATTGCCCGGGCTGGTCTTGAACCTGTGGGCTCAGGCAATCCTCTTGCCTCAGCCTCCCAAAGCGCTGGGATTACAGGCTGAACCACCAAGCTCGCCCGGTTGGCAGTTTTTATTAATTCCAGGCAAAGAAGATGTCAGGACAGGTTTAAACTAACAGGACATGTAAAGAAATGAACTGGAGGGGCTCTGGGTGTGATGTGTCTCAAGGAGGCATCAGTTAGGAAAAACTACAAACTTCAGGTATGATTTCATTTCCTTAACACGAGGGTAAGAACCAACTAAACACACAATAAGCTTTAAAATACATTTCCATTTTTAATTTAAAAAATAAATAACAGCAAATCTGAACAAAACTTCTACTTCAATGCACATTTTCCTAACTGTCCATGTTGGAAACCCAACTAGTTACAAAATCATGGCAAAGGCATTTTTTTTTTTACAAAGTTTAGAGAAATAACTCACAAAATATGACTAATAGATGAGTCTGGGAAACCTATATATCGAAGAACAGTGTTGGCTGGATTGTAAGCATCAAACCGAAATCATTAACCTGAAAGGAAATCTCTTTCCTTTTGTAGATTAGCATTGATGGCTCAAACTCTCAACCCACCCAAAGAGAAACCTACACCTTTTCCAACTTAATTTAAAAAAAAAAACAGACTTATGGCTGAATGTAAGTTTTCCACCCAAAGAGAAACCTATACCGTTTCCAACTTAATTTAAAAAAAAACCAGACTTATCGCTGAATGTAAGTTTCCGAGGAAGTGATATTTACCAACTTCCCAAATGATACAGGGAAGGAAAGCATAATTATTAAAGTGAACTGAAAGTCTAAATACCACGGGCCAAGCTGGTGGAGTCTGAAGTCTATCACGGAAATGACATGGTTTATAGGTTGTTGCAGAGAATTAGGGTAATTTGTATCAATATTTCAATATGTGCTATACTTTTACTGACATTGTGTTCTTTTCTCATTTCTTAGAGATAGGGGCTCTCTCTATCGCCCAGGTTGAACGGCCGGGGCATGATCGTTGCCCACTGCAGTCTTGAACTCCTGGGCTCAAGCGATCCTCTCACCCTCAGTCTCCCAAAGTGGTGGGATTACAGGCGTGAACTACTGCCCCAGTCCCATATTCACAATCCTAATGTTCACAAATCATTTGATCTTCATAGCCAGGGTATGGCAGGGTCAAAGCACCCACTTGGGAGGAAAAAGGGGAACAGTATAGTGCCCGGACCTAAAGACTTTGTACAGAAGTTTAGTTTCTTTCCGAGTCTCCCCTCTTTTTGCTCACTTATAATAAAAGCAGCTAGGGCTGGATTGGAAAAATCCTAAAAATCATGTCACCTCCTTTTCTTTTTTTTTTAACAGATGAGGAAGTTGAAGCCCAGGGACTGACTACACATGGGCTAGCAGATAGGTGCAGGGTCTCTGCAGTCTCATTTTGCGGTGATGGTGGGGTTTTTCTCCCCTTTTCATCATACCTGAGAAGCGTGAAGAAGAAAGGCACACATTTGAAGGACCTTTCACAAAATGGCGCCATGGCACACGGGAACTTTCTGGGTGCTGGAATTCGTCTATGCCTGTATCTGAGAGGTGGTGACATGGGCGTCTAGCTCTGGGAACATTCATCCCTCTGCCCACCTGAGATGTGTGTACTTAACTTGTCCTAATTTTAAAATAAGGAATCGACCCGTGACCTCAGGGGAATCGGAGGAGAAGGAGTCTTCCAGCTTGGAAAGAGTTAGCAAAGGTAGACTGTGGTTCCCCAGACTGACTTTACATCTTGTTGTGTCTTTTGGATTCGCAGTTGTGGCTGCAGGTTTTAGCGGGTTTGCCAAGCAAGAGAACACAGCTTAAGTGTGGAGTCAGGGGTTTAAGGTAGAAGAGAAGGAAGCAAGCCAAGGTCTCTTCTTTATGGCTTCCTTTCCATCTGATACCATGCACCTTCCAATCCTGCAGTACACCAGTGTGAACTGGCATCGTAGACCGGGGCTGTTTCCACTGAACAATGAAATACCTCAGCCTCAGGGCCAGGGCTGTGTCTGGCACTTGGTAAGAAACGGAATAGGTGTTGAATGAAACAATTTTTTTTTTGGAGTTGGAGTCTCACTTTGTTGCCCAGGCTGGAGTGCAGTGAGTGGCATGCTCATGGCCAGCACAGCCTCAACCTGTTGGACTCAGGTGATCCTTCTGCCTCAGCCTTCCAAGTAGCTGGAACTATAGGCGCGAGCCACTACTCCCAGCTAATTTTTTGATTTTTTTGTAGAGATGAGGTCTTGCCAAGGTGCCCAGGCTGGTCTCAAACCCGTGGACTCAGGCAATGCTCTCACCTCGGCCTCCCAAAGTGCTGGGATTACAGGCTTGAACCACTGCACCTGGCCACCTATTATGTTCTCACCGAGTGGCAGTCATGGCCCTAGCCCTCAGGCTGTGGTGGCAGACAGCTGCAGTCCCAGCTACTTGGGAGGCTGAGGTGGAAGACTCGCTTGAGCCCAGAAAGTCAAGGTTGTAGTGAGCGCTGACAGAGCCACCACACTCTAGCCTGGGTGACAGAGTGAGATCCCAACTCGAAAAGAAAAAGAAAATAACCTTCCCCATACCACTTCTAGAATATGCATACTCATTTCTAAAGCAGGGCAGTGGACATGTCTCTCAGGTTTATGCTACCTTGACTTTTGTGACCAGCAGGTATGTCTCTCCTGAAAATGACGGTGATAGAACAAGGCACACACACAGAGGCCCACAAGTCTTACAGGTGAAATCTCCTTCTCTGTTCTCAATCTCCTTAGAGGACAGGACTATGGGCAAGGTTGTGGAAGAGACCCCGGGCAAATGTCCCCCTATTTGACCTTTGGATTCACCGTCAAAAAGCTGTCTGCTTTACCACAAACCCCTAAGTAGTAGAGAACTATGTGGGACATTTCCGGAATTGTTGCAACGAGGGGCAGGTATTCAAGAGTTGGCCAGAGTTGTCTTCTGGCCTAGCTGAGCAAGCTGGGTTATTAGGAGGAGTCTGTAAGCACAGTTTTCTGTGTGAAGCCTCAGTTTTCTTATGAACTAAATGAGGGGGTGGGTTGACTGGCCTCTGAGGCCCTTCTAGCCCAAAACGCCTGAAACTCAGTATGGCTGTTTATGTGTATAATATTTGGTCACCTACATCACCTCCTTTTTTTCTTCTGAAAGGAGAACGGACAATTAGTTCCATTAGCAAGTTATCAAATTAATTCCACAATCAAGAGGAATAAATAATTACAGGGAAATATTGCACTGTCTTCTCCAGGGTAAAACAAGGTGGCTGGGCAGGGCTGCCGAATGACCCAAACGGGTTCAGGAAAAGAACTGCTGAACCAAAGACTCCTAAGTCCCTAGTAGCCAGTGATTTGAGCTCAGAGGAGGTAACAGGACACAAAACTTCATGTGCGAAAGGACGAGCTTCCAAGGCATCCACAGTAAGGAGTGATGGCCGTGCGGTGGGGGCCATTAGTTGGGAGTGTGGTGTGCATTGGGGGAGGGGAGCTTTCCTGTGTCACAGAGGATGGGGGCGGGGGGATACAGAACTCGGGGCTCACATCTGAGTTCACGTTTCTCCAATAACGATGGCCACTCAAACCTAGAAACAGCCCATCTCATTAAAAACGTGTGTTCTTTTCCTCCAAGGAGACACAGTAGCTATTAGAAAGAGATGACCTAAGTGGGCTTGGTATCCATTTATCTCTTCCAAGATGCTACATGGGAAAGGGTGGGTATGTCCATGTGAGAAAAGTCAGTCTGTCTCAAGTGTGGTTCTTCAGAAGCCAAGCCAGAAAGCCCTCTAAAGAGCAGGCTACAGGGTTGCTCCCACATATACTACAGAATTTGTCCAGGCTCTTTGCAGCCCCCTGTCTCTGCGGTAGAGGCTGACTGAATAAGGGTGATGGAGAGCTCTCCTTGGAAACAGTGGCTGATTCTGGAATTCCATGTGGACCGGAGGGGATGTGGTGTGGCCTCAAACACTGAGCAAGAGAAACTTTTGGAAGAACAGAACCGGTTTTGAGCTGGTGAACATCACCCCAGATGAGGAGAGGCGGTTGGCAGAAGTCCATGGGACGGGGACCCCGGCTCTTGGAGGCCGGTTCTCAGGCAGCAGCTGTCCAAGGCACTCGGAGTTGGCGAGGATCTTACTGGGATCCAGGCTCAGAAGAAAGGAGGCCAGACTTCCGCGCTTTCGGAGGCGGTGGGGGTGGGACTTTGGCTTCTCTTCGGACGGGCAGTGGGGGAGCGATCTGTAGGAGCAGATGCAGGATATTAAAAGGGAGTCTCAGCTCTTCCAATTCGACTCTCTTCCCATTCTCCTCATTCTGCTTTAGCCTCTAATTAATCTGGCTTTATCGATACAGTCTCTGCCAAGGGAAAAGGAAAGAGGACTGGCCTGTCTTCCCTCTAGACAAATTGAGGATGCACTCAATAAATATCTGTTGAATGAATGAAGGAAACCCATCTGAGGCTATTTTGGAAGGACTGTTCCCTCACTCAGAGGAAGTAAACTCTTAGGCTGGGAGTGGGGGCTCACGCCTATGCTCCCAACACTTTTGGGAGGCTGAGGGAGGAGGATCGCTTGAGGCCAGGCGTTCGAGACCAGCCTGGACAACATAGGGAGACCTCGCCTCTACAAAAATAAATAATAATAAAAAAAATTATCTGGGTGTGGTGATGTGTGCCTGTAGTCCTAGCTGCTTGGGAGGATCACTTAAGCCAAGGAGTTCAAGGTTACAGTGAACTATGATTGTGCTACTGCATTCCAGCCTGGATGACAGAGCAAGATCCTGCCTCTAAAAAAAAAAAGGAAAAAAATGTGAATTAGAACTCACTTATTTCAATCTCTGTCCCCAGGGTGAGGTACAGAGAGCACCTGCTCTAACTTCAATCATATGAAACGTCTGTGTGCACATCTTTCCTTCTCATTGGAAACTTCCCTCTCTCTCTCTTGTGATTTCAAGAACAAACCAAGAGTCGACTACAGCAATCTAAGGGCAAACCCGCTTATTAAAAAATCTTGGAAAATCCGCCAGGTGTGGTGACTCACGCCTGTAATCCTAGCATTTCAAGAGGTGGAGGTAAGAGGATTGCCTTAGCCCAGGGGGTTCAAGACTAGCCAGGGCAACTTGGCGAGACTCCATCTCTACAGCAAATCACAAAAACTAGCTGGGGTGTGGTGGTGTACACCTCTAGTTCCAGCCACTTGGAAGGCTGAGGTGGAAGGGTCGCCCGAGCCCAGCAGGTCGAGGCTGCGGTGGCTGCGAGCATACCACTGCCCTCAAGGCTGTGTGACAGAGTGAGATTCCAACTCAAAAAAAGCTTGGAAAATTGGATGCTCTCCTCCCAGGCATGCTGCCCCCTGGCCATAAGTATCAGACGTAGCCCCCTACCTCAGTGGAGTTCCTCTGGCTGCTCTCATAGGGCTTGCTTTTGGGGGGAGGAGGCGGTGGGACAGAAGGAGTCGTCAGCCCATCAGCCTGCAAAGATGGGGAGCCTGGCAACGACACAAAGTGTACTAAGAGCGAGACAAAACTTTATCAAGGAATCTCAGAAATCCTGCTTGCATTATGACATCTAAGCCAACCCCGTCAATCACATGGCTAGAGCCATTTGTCTTGGGTGGACACACTGAAGAACATCTGTCACCCCACATGACAAAGATGGTGGCCTTCACTTGCCAGAAAGCTTCACAAGCCTCATGAGACGCTCTGAGGTAAAAATTCTATTTTTTGCCCAGGGTTTTTTTTTTTTTCCCACTATTAGGCTGAAGATGAGAACATTTTCTGGAACTTAGGGTATTACTCTGTTCTCCGACATATCCCAAGTGTTTAGGAAAATAGCCACTTCCTCCAGGAAACTGTTAAGGATTAGCTCTAAATCTTGGTTGACTATTGTCTCTCACTTGGCATTGATAGCTCTATCCCTCCATCATGCCTCTGTAATTCTTCTCAAGTATTGTATACTGCTGGTGCTCCAAACTAGACTGTAAGTAGTACCGTAAGTCCCCTACATACGAACTTTCAAGTTGTGAACTTTCAAAGGTGAGAATATGTATGTTTGCATGTCCAATCTCATAAGTAAGTTCATGTGTCTGGCGTACATTGGCATGGGCACACATCCTCTATAAGTGGTTGTGCTTTTGAGTAATTCACTGTACAGAGTACAGTGGTACGGTATCTTTATTTCAAGCCCAGGATGTCCAGAAGCAAGTGTAAAAGCAGGGGTGATGTAGCTGGTACTGTCTAGATGGTTGTGTTAGTTGGATGCTTAGGCTAATTTTGTTGGACTTACAAACAAATTGGACTGAAGAATGTGCTCTCAGAATGGAACTTGTTCAGGTATAGGGGACTTACTGTATATGAAATGGGTATATTTCGTGTCCCTGTACTGGTCTATCTACCCAATGATTAGTTTGTTAGCTGTGTGCTTTCTGTCTGGTCCCAGTCGGGACCTACTTTCTTTATACCTTCACAATTGAAAAGGGACATTAAGAGCCTGTGGATAACAGAGAAGTTCTATGAGTCCCAGCAGCCCGAGGCCTCCTTGCCAAACTCCAGTTTAACTGTACTATACCCATGGTCACTGGAGTGAATCAGTGGTCTTACATATTTGACAGGGGTTTTACATACTCTGTGACTGGTTTGGTCACACATTTCCCAGACTCATAAGCATGCTCCGTTTCCTAGTAGAAAGAGTATAAGGGATAGAGGATGACTTACTTAGGGTCCTGGTAGCTTTGGGAGTGAGTGGAGGTGGGCTCAAAGGTGTTGACTGCGGAGGTGAAGAACTGTGAAATGGGGTCAGTCGATTGTCCACCAACTGGAGACTTTTTGGCCTTTGTGCTTTTCTGGCTGGGCTCTAGGACCGGGGGAAAAAGCACAGCAGAACAGTCTCATGGTGAGGCAGGCTGAGCTATCTGCTGAGCAGAAACTTATAAAAGGATTTAGCTTGAGGGGCCTTATTTTTTTTAATGAGTCAGAGTCTTACTCTGTTGCCTAAGCTGGAGTGCAGTGGTGCAATCATGGTTCACCTCAGCCTTGACCTCCTGGGCTGAGATGATCCTTCCACCTCAACCTCCCGAGTAGCTGGAATTACAGCGGTGCACCACCATACCCGGCTAACTATTTTTATTATTTTTGGTAGAGACGAGGTCTTGCTATGTTATCCAGGCGGGCCTCAAACTCTTAGGCTCAAGTAATCCTCCTGGTTTGGCCTCCCAAGTGCTCAGATTACAGGCATGAGCCATCCATCATGCCTGACCTTTAGGGGTCATTTTTAAGGTGACCACATTGTCATACGGTGGGCACCAGGACAGAGACATTAATTAGGAATCACTGAACCATAGCTTATTTTCTGGCTGAATTTGATTTTGACCACAGCTGCACTGTGTCATTTATGTTGGAAATGAAGTCACCCTTACTCTCGGGAAAGTTGGTCTTGCCACACTTAAAACCTTGATGTGGGGTTTATGAAAAAAAAAAGGACCTTCAACAAAAACAAAAAAAGAAATGACAACATTCGGGCTGACTCATGGAACGGAGTGGTGAGAACCGCAACTCCAAGTATTATCCCACATGTTTACGTTGTGGGTACAAGACTTGTGCCAGTATTGATTTAGACGTGAACTTCTCCGTATGTGCTTTCCTCACCACAGACTACGATCTCACACTCTCCCAGGCTGCCCTGAGACAAGTCACAGCCAGGCTTCTCTCTGGTGACACACATGCCCGGGGAAGAGGGGTGGGGTGACGTCTATATATTTTTTTACCGTCATATCTGGTTCTGGAGCTTTCTCTGCAATGACCTGGGACTTGCTCAGACTCCAGTCTTTTCTCTTGAACTTGCTGATCCGGTTTTCACTGTCCTCTTTGAGGGGCAGATCTTCAACTCTGGCACCTGACGAGGCCCTGCGCTCAAAAAGGGGCTCCAGGACCGACCTGTCGGCCAGGAAGAAGGACACACATCACAAACACTGACGGCCTGAGGTCAAACTCCACTCCAAAAGGTGTAAAGGTTAGGTTATGACTCCTCGCCTAGTCCTGACCCAGGACTTCACTCTCAGGTTCTAAATCTAAATCTTCAATTCCAACTAAACACATCTCAAGGTATGCATGTACCTAAACAAGACCAAATGACTGCATGAACCTATGAGGAAGAACCCCCCCAACGCCCAGAATTATCCTTCAGGAGGGCGGGTCCCTTGTAGTACCGGCTTCACCTGCTAGGTGGGTGTTCTAGGAACCCACTGGCATCAGTGGACCAACTAGCGTTGTTGTGAACGGTTGTGTTCTGCTTCAGTGAATTTTTTTTTAGAGAGTCTTTCAACACGTTTGCCCATCTCATGATGGGTTATTTACAAGGACACCTGCCCACACTGCACTGAATATTCAGCAGTTCAGCAGTTTTTGATCAAAATGACATGACCCCGTGCTTCACTATTCACCTGCTCTCACCCCGAGAGACTTTTTTGGTTTCCCCGAATGAAAAAAGTCCTCAAAGAGAAACGTTTTGCTGATGTAGAAGATGTGAAACAAAAAATGGCATAAAAGCATCCAAATGGATGAGTTCGACAACTATTTGAAGCAGTGGACAAAGCATCTTGACAGGTGTATTGCATCCGATGAAGAGTACTTGGAAACATGTAAGAATAAATACACATTTTTAAATAAATACATTCAGTTATTTTGGGGGTCCCCCTTCATATCAGTGGATATTTATCTTATCCCAGAAAGAGAAGGTCTTAATTAAAGGTCCAGGCAAAGACGGAATCCACAAAGTAAAACGTTAATAGGCAGCTCGATGTAGCAGATAACGGTGCATGCTCGGAGCGAGAAAGCCTGGGTTCAAATTCTACCTACAGGGCTCCTAGAGCGTCTCCTAACTAAATAGCTGGAAAGCTATATGTACAAATAAGCCCGTTTTTGTACTAAAATTTATAATGAACTTTTAGGATTGCTTAGAAATAATGACACAGCTTAAGTAATTCAATAGTAGGAAAATGATTATGGCACATTTTTATGAAGCAATGGTCTACTGCAATAAAAAAAAATAATAAAAAGAATGATAATGATAAAGATTGGCTGGGAGTGGTAGCTCGTCTGCAATCCCTGCACTCTGGGAGGCTGAGGTGGGAGGATTGCTCGAGTCCAGGAGTTCACGAACAGCAATAGAGTGAGAACTTGTCTCTACATTAAAAAAAAAAAAAAATTAGCCCAGCACGGTGGCACACAACTGTAGTCCCAGTTACTTGGGAGGCTGAGGTGGAAGGATGGTCTGAGCCAAGGAGGCCAAGGCTGCAGTGAGCTGCGACCCTTTCACTGCACTCTAGCTGGGGCAACAGAATGAAACCCTGACACAAAAGTAAAAATAAAAATGAATATTATATAACAACATGGCAAATATGTATGATACAAAAACAAGAAAAGCAAAGTATCAAACCATACCGATGCTATAATTAGAGCTATGTAAACCTATCTATGTCAATGGAGAAGGATGTATACATAATTTAGGACATTAAATATTTGATTTCCAGTAGGGTGCCATTAGGCAGGTTATTTTTATGATATATTAATTATAACAAAATTAAAAATTTATGAATAAATGGTGAGTCAACTAACTTGACTTATATTTCAACATTTATCTTAAATACTTAAAGATGTGTAAATACTCATCATCTATATTAAATGATACATATAATGCAATGCTTTTGCACTTGTATAATGATACATATAATACAATGCTTTTGCCCACAAAATGATACATGTAATGCAATGCTTTTGCACTTGTATAAAAAGTATAGGCCGGGCATGGTGGCTCAAGCCTGTAATCCCAGCACTTTGGGAGGCTGAGGTGAGGGGATTGCCTGAGCCCATGGGTTCGAGAACAGCCTGGGCAACTTAGTGAGACCTCATCTCTACAATAAAAATAAAATAAAAATAAAAAATTAGCTGGGCTTGGTAGCACGCGCCTGTAATTCCAGCTACTTGGAAGGCTGAGGCAGAAGGATCACGGGAGCCCAGCATGTCCTCGCTGGGGTGGCTGTGAGCATGCCACTGCGCTCCAGCCTGGGCAATGGAGTGAGACTCCGACTTAAAAAAAAAAAAAAGCATATATACTTTTTGTATTACATAACTAAACTTTTAACGTTGTTATTTCTGAGTGAAGTTATGGAGTAATTTTTCTTTTAAAAGTTTTTAGTACTTTGGTAAAATACTACTTAAAAATAGTAACCTCAGGCAGAAAGAACACAACTATGAGTTAACTCCTTCCAAATGTTTTAAATATGAACATATGGAAAGGTATTTCGTGCTTTTGGCAAGGAAGCCTCAATATCTAAAAGTCATCAACCAAGGTAGGGCACAGTGGCTCATGCCTGTAATCCTAGCACTTTGGGAGGTCAAGGTGAGAGGACTGCTTGAGTCAGGAGTTCAAGACCATTCCGGGCAACATAATGAGACTTTGCCTCTACAAAAAAAAAGAAAAAAAAAAAAAGTCAGGCATGGTAGCACACACCTGTAGTTACTTGGGAAGCTGAGGTGGAAGAACAGCCTGAGCCCAGGAATTCAAGGATGTGATAAGTCGTGACCATGCCACTGCACTCCAGTCTGGGTGACAGAGTGAGATCCCAACTCAAAAAAAGAAGAAAAAAAAAAGGCATCAATCTTCCTAAAGTTAGTCCATAAATTTAACAGGATCCTAATAAAAACTACAGTAGGACCAGTTGTGGTGGCTCACGTCTATAATCCTAGCACTTTGGGAGGCCAAGGTGAGAGGACTGCCTGAGACCATGGGTTCAAGACCAGCCTGGGCAACTTGGCGAGACCGCATCTCTACAATAAATAAAAAAATTAGCCGAGCGTGGTGGTGTGTGCCTATAGTTCCAGCTACTTGTAAGGCTGAGGTGGAAGGATCACCTGAGCCCAGTTGGTCGAAGATGCGGTGGTTGTGAGTAAGCCACTGCACTCCAGCCTGGGTGACAGTGAGACTCTGACCCCCCAAGAACCCCCAAGCCAAAGCAAACAAACAAAACAACAGTAAGATCTTAGACAAGTTAATCCAGAAGTGAGCAATGAGTAATATCAGCCAGATTAAATTCTGAAAGGGAATACTAGAATTCTCTTAATTACTATAGATTTAAAAATTGTTTTAACTCTACAGTAATTAAAACTGCATAGTATTGTGCATGAATAGACAGGTAAATCAAGGAAGCAGGAAAAAAGGCCACAAAAAGTCTGAAAATATCTAGACATTTGATTTTTGATAAGATTGACATTTCAGAAAAAGAAAAAAAAGATGGTTAGCTCACTAGGTAACCATTTGGGAAGATAAAAATGTTGGCTTTATACCTCACATCTTATAATAGAATTAATTCCAAAGAACCACAGACTTAATTGTAAATAGTGAAATACTAAAGGCCAATGAAAAAAAGTAACTTTTTTATTGCCTTACTATGGGAAAGGCTTTTAATTGTGTTAGAAAGTCAAGTAGTCATAAAATAAAATATTGACTTATTTGACTACATATAAAAAATATCAGTGTGTAATAAATAATTAGACGTAAAACGCAAAGAAGAAATTTGGGGAAAATATTTCAGCTCATATCACAAAGGGCCAACCACACCATCTAAAGAGGTATTTGACCACAGTTCACAGAATGTAAAATAGAAACCAGTGCTCAGCAAAAAGATGCTTACCTTCAAACAAAATATGAAACATGAATAAAACACAAGACAAGTCCAAAAACCAAAAGAAGTCTATACAAGAAAAATTTTCCAGCAATCAGATTGGTCAAAATTAGTAGGACTGAGAGTTCACTTTGTTGGCAGGGGTAAGTATGGGTAAACTGGGTGCTCTTGTATGTTGCTGATGGGACTGCAAACTGGTGGAATCTCCATGGAAGTCGGTTTAGGAATAATGTGAAAATTGCTAATACGTACATTTGACAGAGCAATTTCACTTATGGGATTTTTCTCATATTGATATACTTGTGTGTGTACAAAATAACATGTTTAACGCTATTCATTGCCACACTGCAGTCATAGTAAAAACGGAAACCAAGTCAATGTCCCTTTGTAGGCACTGGTGGAACAGACAGATTGAGGATGGCTAATCCGAAAATCTGAAATCCAAAATGCTCCAAAATCGGAAACTTTTTGAGTGCTGACATGATGCCCAAAGGAAGCACTCATGGAAGCATTTCAGATTTGGGATTTTCAGTTTAAGGATGCTGAACAGGCATAATGCAAACATGAAAAAAATCCAGAAATGTCTGAGATCGAAAACTCCACAGGTGTCCAGCATTTCAGATAAGGGATATTCAACCTAATATTGCAGTTCAGACTTACAGTGAGATGTCTGAAGCTACAGAAAACATAGAGAGGAGGCTGTTTATGCTCTGAAATGGAATGAGCTTCAAGATATATTACATAAAAAAAGCAAGGTAAAGAGGATGCTTCCATTTGAATAAAAAAAAAAAGCATGTGGCCGGGCGTGGTAGTTTACGCCTGTAATCCCAGCACTTTGGGAGGCCAAGGTGCAAGGACCATCTGAGCCCAGGTTGAGGCTACGGTGAGCCATGATTGTGTGATCATGCCACTGTACTCCAGCCTGGGCAACAGAGTGAGACCCCAACTCAAATAAGAAAAAGGTGTGGAGAAGAACATATATGTAGATATTGCTTGTGAATCTAGAGAAGGTTGATGCAGGTCTCAAGAAACTAAATGTTAACATCTGTTGCCTCTGGGGAATGGCGCTGGTAGTCTAAACTCAGGGACTAGAGAGAGGTTTTTCATGATATATCCTTTTGTATTTATGGAATTTCATGTACTACGGTATTACCTATTCATAAAATACATATTTCAAAAATGGAAAAGTTAGGCAATGACTATAAAGGGTGTAATAGGGTGGCAGAATTGTGTGTTTTTATTTTTTCGCTTTTCATTTTTAGTAACCTGTTGTTATTATTATGCTTTTTTTTTTTTTTTGAGTCAGGGTCTCACTCTGTCACCCAGGCTGGAGTACAGTGGCAGAATCACAGCTCACTGTAGCTTCGACCTCATGGGCTCAAGCAATCCTCCTACCACAGCCTTCTGAGTAGCTGAAACTACAGGGGCGCACCTCACACCCAGCTAATTTTTAAAAATATTTTGTAGTGGTAACTTGGCGAGACCTGGTCTCTACAATTAAAAAAAAAATTACCTGGGTATGGTAGCATGCACCTGTAGTTCCGGAGACTTGGAAGGCTGAGGAGGAAGGATCACTGGAGCCCAGCAGATCGACGCTGGGGTGGCCATGAGCGTGCCACTGAACTCCAGCCTGGGCAACCGAGTGAGACTTTGATTCAAAATATATATATATATATATATATATTTTGTAGAGATGAGGTCTCGCTGTGTTGCCTGGGCTGTAATTGCTGGGTGCCAGTAATTCTCCTGTCTCAGTTTCCCGAAGTGCTGGAATAACAAGTAGGAGCCACCATGCCCAGCCATCATTATGTTAATAATGACGCTCCTTATGAGGAAGACAGTGAGAATAACTCAAAGACTAATCACCCATGTACTCCAAATTACATTTCTCACAGGGGTGATGCGTCTACATCGACCAAATCTCACTTTGGTAACCGAAGGCAAACCACAGTAAGGCGTGACCCCACCCCTCCTGAAGACTCAAGATCAAACCCTTACCCGTCAGATCCAGGTCTGGAAGGAGCATTATCAGATGAGTTTGAAGAGGTGGAAATCACAGAGGATGTCACTGAGGTGATGGACAGCCTCCGCAGAGTGGAAGACATGATGTAGGGGAGCACAATAGACCCCGTGCGGCTTTGCTTTCTCTCCGTCAAGTTGGGTGGCTGAAAACACATGACCCGCATCGTTAGCTGGCCTGGAAGTCAGCCTCTGTGAACTGGTACAGCTACCTTGTCTGTCTGTGGCTAACTAGTGGCCATTTGTATTGACTGGTACCCCATTCCAACTGGTTGGTGCCTCTGTTGCCTCAGCTGTTAAATATTGCAAATATATATATATATATATATATATATATATATATTTTTTTTTTTTTT